GTCATTTTTTTCGAGACCCTGGCAAAATTGCAATTTCAAAAGACACCGTTAAGTATGGATTTTAAGCCTTTGAACTTAACTGTCAACTGTTGCATTTTAACTTAACTAAACTTAACGACTTAACTGTCACCTTTAACGGGCTTAGCTTATTTTAACTTAACTGTCAACTTAACTGTTGCATTTTAACTTAACTAAACTTAACTTGACTTAACTTAGCTGTCAACTTAACTTATATTTCAGCTTAACTTAAATGTCACCTTAACTGTCAATATAACTTAGCTTAATTTATCTTATCTTATCTTAGCTTAGTTTAACATATTTGTCAATTAAACTTAAATTTCAACTTAACTTAATTGTCAACTTAGCTGTCAACTTAACTGTTGCATTTTAACAACAGCCCCATTTTAACTTAACCTAACTGTCAACTTAACTGTTGCATTTTAACGTAACTTAACTTATTTTAAGAGTTCCACTGTAACTTAACCTAACTGTCAACATAACTGTTGTACTTTAACTTATCTCAACAGTTATATTTTAACTTAACAGTTGCATTGTACCTTAACCCAACTGTCAGCATAACTGTTGCATTTTAACATACCTTAACAGTTGCATTGTAACTTAACTGTCAACTTAACTGTGAACTTAACTGTTGTATTTTAACTTAAATTAACAGTTCTATTTTAACTTAACAGTTCCATTTCAAATTAATCGTTACATTTTAAATTAACAGTTCCATTTGAACTTAACCTAACTGTCAACTTAACTGTCAACTTAACTATTGCATTTAACTTAACTTAACTTATCTTAGCTTATCTTAACTTTACTTAACAGTTTCATTGTAACCTAACTTAACCTAACTGTCAACTTAACTGTCAACTTAACTATTGCATTTAACTTAACTTAACTTATCTTAGCTTATCTTAACTTTACTTAACAGTTTCATTGTAAGCTAACTTAACCTAAATGTCAACTTAACTGTCAACATAACTATTGCATTCAACTTAAGTTATCTTAACTTTACTTAACAGTTTCATCGTAAGCTAACTTAACCTAAATGTCAACATAACTGTCAACATAACTATTGCATTCAACTTAAGTTATCTTAACTTTACTTAACAGTTTCATTGTAACCTAACTTTACCTAACTGTCAACTTAACTGTTGTATTTTAACTGAACTCAACAGTTATATTTTAACTTAACAGTTCCATTTTAACTTAACTGTTCCATTTTAACTTAACAGTTCCATTGTAACTTAACCTAACTGTCAACTTAACTGTTCCATTTTAACTTAACAGTTCCATTGTAACTTAACCTAACTGTCAACTTAACTGTTGCATTTTAACTTAACTCAACAGTTCTATTTTAACTTAATAGTTCCATTTTACCTTAACATAACCAAACTGTCTATCTAAATGTTGCATTTTAACCTAACTTAACTTAACAGTTCCATTATAACATATCGTTACCAAACTGTCAACTTACAGTTGCATTTTAACTAAACTTAACCTAACTGTCAACTTAACTGTCATCTTGACTGTTCCATTTTAACTTAACTTAACTTAACTTAACTTAACTTAACTTAACTTAACTTAACTTAACTTAACTTAACTTAACTTAACTTAACTTAACTTTAACTTAACTTAACTTAACTTAACCTACTTGCTTTTTACAGTGTACATACTCACACCCACAATTGTATACATGGTTTAACAGAGATTTTCCATAGACATAATGTGTTTTATACAGAAAAACGGCTTATTATATGGTCCGCCCCACCCCTACCCCTAAACCCAACCATTACAGCAAACCTGTGGGAAAATCTGAGCATTTTGATCTTTTTAAGCATGTTGAATTATAAGGACACAATAGAGTACAACTAGCTACACACACACACACAGTGAAACTGAACAAGCTTGTCCTGAAAGTTGATGTGGATGTTTGGAACAGCAGAGTCCTGTTTATCTGTTTTCAGCCATTGACGTTTCTTCCCCCTTCTGAAGGTCAAGGCTGCATTCCAGCACATTTATACAGTTAAATGACTCCAATTAAGCGCTGCGTGTTTTTGCTGACGTTCAGCTTCATAGATCTCCTGCTCTCTGAGCTGTTTCTTCTGGGATGGTTCTGGATCTGGTTATTAATCTCTTAATTCTGCGCTTTTTAACCTTCACTCCTGTCTTCCCTCCCTTCGCTGCCTCCTCTATTGACTATCAATTGACTGTCATTAACACTGCTGAACTCCTGCTCATGGTGGATTTGTATGCAGCCCAGACTCCAGGGGGAGCTGAGCTGTTCATCCACCAGACGTGTGTGAGCGTTTTTATGGGTTTGGTCAAGTTTGTCTCACAGGCTCCTCCATCAACACATGTGTATTGGTGAAATACATGCTGAAGGTATAGATTCCTTAAAAATGTAGTCGTCATTGTTTTTCACCCTCATGTTTTTATGCAGTGGACGTTTATGCTGGAAAAAAATATACAGCTTAAATTAAGTTGATATAAAGGATATTATTATTAGTCTTGATTATTTCGTAGCCCCTACATATAATTTTATGACGCATGTTTTTGATATTCTCCTAATTATTTGCTGAGTGATGCGTAAAACTAAATTATTAGCTGTAAGCAAAAATATTATTGGATTAATTTTTATAAGAAAATACACTTTAAAACTGAATTCGCATGTACAATGTATTTCAATTATGTATTTATATTTACACTTAAGGAAACATTTTTATTTTTATAAATACTAAAACTACAACTAAAAATAAGTGAAGCTATAAAACTAACGCTGCGTCCGAAACCACATACTTCCATACTATACAGTATGCTAAAATCAGTATGCGAGCCGAGTAGCATGTCCCATTTCATAGAATTCCAAAAATCAGTATGCGAGAAGTACCCGGATGACTTACTACTTCCGCCGAGATTCTGGAGTGCGCATCCCATGTACGCTGTGCTATCCCATGATGCCTGGCGAGAGAATTCATGAATGGGAGTGAAGCGACGCAACTGGCGCATGTAGGTCGTGTGACCATGACAAAATGGCGCATGTAGTACGTTCGAATTCCATTCATACTTTTCACATTCATACTGTATAGAATATACTTTTCTAATGGCCAAGTAGTATGTTTAAATTTAAATGCAGTAGTTATCGGTTTCGGACGCAGCCTAAATTACTTTTGTTACTTGAAATTAAGTAAACCATTAAAAACCAAAATGTCAAATTATTAGCAGCAACAAAATAAAAATAATTACAATATTTACAATAATAATAATAATATAAAAATTATATATATATATATATATATATATATATATATATATATATATATATATATATATATATATATATATATATATATATATATATATATATTGCCTAGTCAAAAATAGACAAATTGGAAAATAAGGAAAAATAATAATGTTTTAATTATTATTATTAATAAAAAATACAAAACAATTATATATTTGGAAATCTATTGACAAAATATACACTATGTCTCACTATGTTAGTATCTTCTTTTAAAAGATAAAAAAGATAAAAAGTTTCACTAACTAATTTCGAGAGGAGCACGTGATATGATTGATCGCAGCTGGTCTCTCATCTGTAATCATTAGTAAGCCAATCAGATTAATCCAAATTTACTATAAATAGCCTGTCTAAAAGTATACCAGCAGCTTGCTCCCTGCAACTTTCACATGGTTGCCCACTGAAGCTAAGCAGGGCTGCGCCTGGTATGTACCTGAATGGGAGACCACACTGGAAAGCTAGGTTGCTGCCGGAAGTGGTGTTAGTGAGGCCAGCAGGGGGCGCCCAACTTGCGGTCTGTGTGGGTCCTAATGCCCCAGTATAGTGATGTGGACTCTATACGGCTCAGTGAGCGCCGTCTTTCAGATGAGACGTTAAACCTGAATCTCTGTGGTCATTAAAAATCCCAGGATGTCTTTCAAAAGAGTAGTTTAACCCTGCCATCCTGGCCTCTGTCCATCATGGCCTCCTAACCCTTTCCCATATCATAATGGGCTTCATCCCTCTGTCTCCCCTCCACCAATCACCTGGTGTGTGGTGTGCGGTCTGGCGCAATATGGCTGACGTCACGTCATTTAGGTGGATGCTGCACACTGGTGGTGGATGAGGAGACCCCCCCCCTCCCCATTATGTAAAGCCCTTTGATTGCCCAGAAAATTGCTATATAAATGTAAGGAATTATTATTATTATTATTATTATTATTATTATTATTATTATTATTATTATTAATATTATTATTATTATTATTATTATTATTATTATTAACATTATTATTATTATTATTATTATTATTAATATTATTATTATTATTATTATTATTATTATTATTATTATTATTATTATTATTATTATTATTATTATTATTAATAATAATATTATTATTATTATTATTATTATTAATATTATTATTATTATTATTATTATTATTATTATTATTATTATTATTATTAAAACTACTCCCTTATCTTTGTTTTCCGAAAAAAAAACCATCCACCCCATCTCCTCCTGTCCTCCTTTACCAGCGGGAGCTCTCAAGAACTACCTGATCTCGTACCCCCTTACATGCTTATTGACCAGGCTAATTTGGGTACTAATTAAAACACCTTATAGACCAATATATGCCTTTAAGGTATTGATATGCACCATTTATGAGTAAGTATGGTAAAAGCAAACCATTGTGAAATAGCTCTGCCCTCCTGATTTTTCTTTTGCAGTAGTAAACTATTTTCAGGAGTCACTCAGGAATAAATAGCATTGGTTTGTAACAACATGAGGGTCTAACATAACAAAACAACTTTAATTTGTGTAGACTCTGTATTGGCCTTTTTAAAAAAAGTGAATATAAATAAAATTATGGAGTGTAGATAGAAGTGTGTTGGCTGTAGCCTGTGAGCAGGTTTGTACCGGCGTGTGTGTGTTTGTAAGTGATGTGTGTGTGCTGAAGCAGTAAGCTGTGTTTCTCTTCTCTCTCAGTGCCTGGTGCTCCTCCACGCAGGGTTGAGGTGGACAACATCAACTCCACTGCACTGCGTGTGTCCTGGAAGCCGCCTCTGCAGCAGAAACAACACGGCCACATACGTGGATATCAGGTGGTTTACTCACGCCTGGAGAATGGAGAGCCGCGCGGACAGCCCATCATTCTGGACGTGGCGCTGCCAGAGGCACAGGTACACTGCGCAAACACAACACTGTAAATCAGTCCAGACAGTTATGTAAAACACTCAATATAGGCTCATTCTGAAAACGCAGCCCTATAGACCTTTTTCATGGCTGCTGCATGGTGGGCGCCATAGCGACCAGCGTCTTCCGGTAGAATGCTAAAAACTTCCGTTTACAGCGTTTACAACTGGTAATTTGCGCTCCGAAAATGGGTTTCAATAATGTTTTTAATGGATAACAGAGTGTTTTTGTGACACACAACTTAGAAATGTGTCTGTTAAAGCCGTTATAATCTGTCGATGTGGTTCAAGTGCATCAGAAATACGAGAAAAACGTTCTCCTAGTTCACGTGTCTGCAGTCAGAAATAGCTCAGCAGCTTTTTAACACACACACACACACACACACACACACACACACACAGACACACACAGAGAGAGAGAGAGAGAGAGAGAGAGAGAGAGAGCAAACCAGAGTACTGGCGTAAAACTTAACAGGTATGAAAGTCGTGCAATTTACAAAAATGAGCAATAAAAGTCTGTTATTGATCCTCTGCTGGCTGATTTGCTGTTCATTCTAATCGCGAGCCGTTTGTGGTTTATTTCGTGTGTTGTTTTCACCACGGTTTGTGTTTTTCTGTCATTTCGAAATGACACTAGCCTATATTTTCACTTTGTCACAGTTATTAAATCAGTGTGTCAGTGGCACAGTACAGGCTACGTGTGTGTGTCAGACAATTAGGTGAATAACATTTGTTTGGGCTGATTATATATTTGAAATAAAGAGAAACTGTTGACTTTAGCGATGACGAGGCTTCATTTAAACTGCAGAAGATGCCGTCTGACAACGAGGGGAAAACGCCTCACAGCAGCTGTTTTCCATCCTATTAGATCGCATTTCTTTAAATGATCAGTCTAGGAGATGCTGCTGATGGACAACAGTATTAGTTCAAAGAGGATAAAAGCAGGTAAAATAGATTAAAACTATCGTTTCAAAGCTGTCCAAATGTGACTGTTTACATGCATCAGCTGCCGACCGGAAGTTCTTCGCATTCTCCTTGCGCATACACGCAAAGCATAATGGGTAATTTTGCGTTCCAAGAAAAAGGTCTAAATACATTTCTGGAGATCATAAGAAGAACGTACTGCTGCATTTTGCATACCTGTCAACCCTCCCGTTTTTCCCGGGATTCTCCCGTATTTTACTGTTCTATCCCGCTAATCATCCCGTAAAGATATTTTCCCGTATTTCTCCAGTATTTTCTGTCTTTCTCTAAACAGCCGAGCCTCACTTTACGCAACACATACCGCCTAACCACCAGGGGTCACCCCATGCTCTAAAACGTGACTCTTCTGTGCTTTCGCTTTGTTTATGAATACAAAAAGAAATAAGTACTAAAAACGGCGCGATTCCATTTCCTGTTGAATACAGGTGCCGTCGCCCGTCCTATACAGTCCACAAAACAATCATATAATGGTGCATGACTGTCAGCTGATGCGCTCCATACTGATAAACAGATGCTGTTTCCCAAACGGATTCTGTACACGCGATTTGAAGCGGAGAGAAAAAGTCTGGCTTTTTGGTGCGTGTTTAAACAGACATACACACATAACTTATAATAATAACATATAAGGATGTCGATCTTGGTATTTTTTTTTTTTTCCAAACACAGCTAATTTCGTCTTAAATAAGCATAAAATGTAAGGAAAGCAGTCGAATGCTTTCATTATAACGTTAGATGTGTGCATTTTTAAAGTGACACCTGTTATTTAATGTAATAAAAAAAATCGTAATAAATGAGAGATTCATTCGTTATACAGCGAAGAAACAGATAGTGAGATTTGATAGCTTGATTCCATGTCATTGTAATAGCTATTAATTTTAATGAGCTGAACTGTTTGCTAATGTATTTGCTGCTAATCTATATATTTATTTTTCTTTTGGTAATAATAATTTTTAAACATATTACTGACTATTTAACTGTTTATTTACAATGAAACAGCCCCAAAAGAACATATTTAGTAATTTGGGGAATCCCTTATTATGGTGGGCATATCCCTTATTTTCACATCCCAATGTTGACATGTATGCATTTTGTCTTTAAAAAGAACGATACGGGGCGATATGATGCCGTTCCTTTTAGCGCTACCAGCACAACCGCTTACCTCCATATGGACGGCTTTCCTGCTGTAACTAGTTTTAGATTGATCAGTCTTTCGGTCAGTTAGTCAGTCAGTAAGTAGACAGCAGCCTCTGGTGGATGTACGTGAGAACAGCAGGCAAAAATTGCACAAGAGAAATTTGAGATCTGAAAAAGTGTACACAGCGGCCTCTGGTGAATTCGCGAAAACAAAAACTGCAAAAAAAACAAAACAAACCTGGGATGTCTTTGACAAGGGGTGTCCAAACTCGATCCTGGAGGGCCGGCGTCCTGCAGATTTTAGCTCCAACTTGCTTCAAAACACCTGCAAGGATGTTTCTAGAATGCTAGCCCAGGTGTGTCTGATTGGGGTTGGAAGTAAACTTTGCAGGACACCGGCCCTCCAGGACTGAATCTGGACATCCCTGTCTTTGGCGCTCTTCAGAAATGTATATAGTGGTACATATCCATAATGAGCCTGGGTTGATTAAAAACAACAAGAAATAATTAGAATAATCTAATAAACATAAGCTGCGTCCCAAATCGCATACTTATGCCCTATTCTATGCCATTTTGTAGTATAAATAGTGTAAGTAAGTAGTGCGTTCACACTGAAAACTCTAAAAATAATAAGTGCACTTTAATTACCCGGATGATGCACTCATTCAGCCGATAAAATGAAGTGTGGAATGATGGAGACTTCATGCACTCAACGACCGCAGGTTTGCTTACGTAGCGGAAGAGGCGGAGCTATCGAACGCACATGTTGGATAACTTTACTTATTTTGGATGGTGAAAGCAAAATTCTCCTACGAGAGTGATTATAGCGCCTCCCGATGGTGAATGTGGCAATACTCACGGCAGGTATTATTTGATAATTCGGTTGTTTATTTCACTGATTTGGCAACCGTCAAACGTCATCAGGGAAACGGTTTGAATTTCCGCTTAGTAAAAAAACATTAGTGTGCCATTTGGGACGACACTACATGTACTATCCTGTTGAGTGTGTAAGTGCATAAGTACATAGTGAATGAGTGCATAGTGTATAGTGTGCCATTTGGGAATTGACCCTTCGCTAAGCCACACCCATAAACCGCCACCCACCAATCGTGGCTTAGCAACTGTAGCTACGCGCAGGGACTCTGTCAAGCTTTCGAGCGAGTGCATTTGGATTGTGCAAATCTGATACCCGGTATCCTTAAAGTTTGGACGGGATGGTGGAATTTTTTCCCTTTTCAAAACCTAAAACCCAAGAAGAGATGCCAGCGTGGATCAAGCTGTGTGAGTGGCGCTAAAGGAGCCTAAAGTGGACTGGTCTTAGCTGGTCAGGCTGGGAGATGACCAGCTAAAACCAGCTTGACCAGCCAAGCCAAGCTGGGAGCCCAGCCAAAACCAGTTATGTCAAGCTTAAACCAGGCTAGTCAAGCTGGTTTTAGCTGGATTTAGCTGGTCATTTTCCAGCCTGACTAGCTAGGACCAGGCTGGAAATGGCTGGAAATCAGCCTGGAAATGGCCAAAACCCCTCTAAAACCAGGCTGGTCAACCAACTAAAACCAGCCAACCAGCCTTGGTGTGTTTAAGCTGGATTTTTCAGCAGGGTAGTAAACTAGAATCACTCTGATTGGATTATTACTGATTACAGATGAGCAACCAGTAGTGCTCAATCATATCACATCCTCCTCTCGAAATTAGTTTATGAAACTTCAATTGAGTTTCTTTCTTCTGAAGAAAGTTGGAAATATCAGCCATTTACATCCATGGTGCTGCTTTTTCCCCCAACATTCTTCAGAATATCTTCTTTTGCGTTTAACAGACTCAAAGTTCAGAATCACTTGAGTGTGAGAGAGTACGTGGTGAGGAAAGCTCTTTAATGCATTCTCTCTATTAAATCAGTTGTTAATAACACATGCATTTTCCTCCTTTAAAGTGTGTGTTTGCATAAGCTGCTTCATTCATGAGCCCATCACACTGCAGGAGTAAAGCAGGTTGTGAGTTCTGCGATCTTCAATAAAAGAAGAGTCTTAAAATGTATAATTCAAAATCTGCGTATTTAGCGAGAGGTTGCGACACGAGTTCAGATCTCCAAGGAGGAGTCAAGTAAATATTTTAAGGTTGGAAAAGGTGTTCAGTTGAGGAGAAGGTCATGAACTTCTGAACTGAGTGCTTCGTCATCCTCCAGGCTTTAATCGCAAACTTTTAGGTTCTCAGTTTGGTGTTCATCTTCTTAGTTTGGGGCATTGCTTTTGTTTTTTTTTTGTTGGTCTGTAGTGGATGTTTATGTGGGATTTGACTTCCCCTGAAGGACCTTGTCTGTGGGTTGAGTTTTCAGCAGATGCAGGAGTGGGTTTTGTTTTCATACCTGAGGACTGTGATGATCAGTGTGTATGTGTGTGTATGTGTGAGAGAGAGAAAGAGCAGAGCTGTGAAGCATGAGGCACGTCTCATCAGATAAGACAGAGGCTGATCCATGTCTCCTTCAGCTCAGGAAAGTGTGTGTGTGTGTGTGTGTGTGTGTGTGTGTGTGTGTGTGTGTGTGTGTGTGTGTGTGTGTGTGTGTGTGTGTAAGAGAGTTTGTGGGTGACGTGATTGTATGTGGGTGTACTTGTTAGTGTAAGTGTGCGTGTTTGCATGTGTATGTGCATTTGAGAAGGTGTGTGTGTGTGTGTGTGTGTGTGAGTGTGTGTGCATGGTAAGTAAAAGAATATCACAAAGATTAGATCTCCAAGATAGCAGAGAGATAAAGTGGAGACTAAATGGAAAAATTCTCCTTTGATTTTACTTCTTCCAAATCCATTTGTAGACATTTTTGTAGTTATTCTCTGCTCTACATTTAGGGCCTACTCACACTATGCCATCCGTACTGTGCCCAG